GCTAATCTTATCTGCAACTATTTTGTGCTTTCTTGGCTGTGTGTGTGTGGTTCAGCCTTCTTCTTCCTTTTTTTTTTTTGTGGAACCAGGGATTGAACTCAGGCCCTTGCACTTGCCAGGGAAACGCTTATTCCACTGAGCCATCTTCCCAGCCCTCAGCCCTCTTTAGAGACAGTGTCACCATTCTTCAGAATGTTGCTAAGGTTGAGGGGGAGTCAGCAGCCCTTGGCCTTGTTCTGACTTCAGTGTCTGCTGCCCATAGCTGCCTGCATGGTGAGTCACTGTAGTTTGTGCAGGATGAGGCAGGAGGCAGCAAATCTGTCAGAGATTTCAATGATAACAAACAGCTGGCTGTGGCAGATGTGCCACAGGTTCACCAATACTGGGGGAGATGGCTCTGGGGGGCTAATGGCACCCTCTGATTTGAAAGGTAGTAACATCAATACTACTTTGCAGGGCCTTTCTGAATTAATTTCATGATTATTTATCATTAAAGATACTTTTGAAAATTGATTTTCACCCCCTCAAACACTCCAAACACCCAAAACCTACTGTGAAAAATAAGCAGGCCATCCACGACTACTCAGTCTGTGCTCTGCTCCTCCACCTCACCCTCTCCTCAACCCAGTAATCTTAGAATCAATGGTATTAGCTGCTTATTTAGCAGTGTCCCTCAGCAATCTGAGTTCTGTGTCAAATGCACTGGCCAGGCATTGAGGGGTCTGTGAGAAAACCCTTTTGCTGTCATCAGAATGAAAGGACAGCTGGCAGAGCCAATGGATCAGGAAACCATTCTCTGCATTTTCTCTGTCTTGAACCAGATGCATGTTCCTTTTTCTTTTCTCATTGAAATCTAGTTCATCAGTTTTGCTCGTAGGAGCTGGTTTGTGTCTTTCCACTCATAGTTTTAAAACTTACTAGCAGAATGTTTCCTCTGAGGATTCAATACTCTGGCAAATTTAAATAGTCTCTCAATTTGAAGAATAAAGTAAATTTTCAAATCAAGTAGGTTTTTTTGTTTTTTTTAACATCTTACATCTTACTTTGGTTCCAAAACATACCTCTCCACACCCTAAATTTTCACCCGGCCTTCCCCATCTTCTTTTCTCCTCGGTCTTGGGACAGTGCACGCAAGCTGACTGCCTCCTTCCTTTCCCGAACCCCGAGTACTGCACAGAGCTGAGATGCTGCCAGCCAGGCTCCCCCGGGGACATGAAGCCAAGAGTGGCAGAACTAGGCTGTGCTCATTACTCCTGTGATGTCCAGAGCCCAGCCAGGCTGAGACCCTTCACGGCAAGCAGGGTCTCATTCCAGGATGATCTTCAGTCTTCTCGCTGTCCTGATAAATTTGCTTTCTGTACTACTTAGCTGTGTTTCTTATTGCAAAACCAACACCAGAGGGTCTGTTCACAGGGCCTCTTTTCTAGGTGTGTCATCCTCTTTCGAAATGCCTTTAGTTTATTTTCCTCATTTGTGTTTTGTACTTGCTAATTTTCAATACTTGCAAATTTTCAATTTTTGTTTGGTTACTATTATTCTACAGTGTCATTTCCTAAGCATTGTTCTAGAGGAAAGTAATTCCAACTTAGTGCTAGCAGATGTTCCATTTTTAAAAACAGGGAGATTATAGTTAATTACATGTGGAAAACATAAGGATAAAGTTAAATTAGTTTCTTTTTTTGTGCACTGTGAATTTCTACAGAAGAATACAGGACCTAACTTTTTCCAAATTTTGCTTTAGTGTAGAGAGACACAGACTTATCTCACCACATCAAGAGGAGCTGGTGACTGCAACACACCCGAGCACTGACATCCTAGATTTATCTGTTTTTCCTGTCTTCAGTGAGCACTCTTTCCCCTTGGCCTATTACAGCACAGCGCAACATTTTTATTTTTAACATCAATCATTCCAATTTAATATTCACCTTATTTCTATTCTATTTGTGATTCTTATAGTTGCTGGAGCTTCTTCCAGACTTTGAAAATGCTGAGACTTAACTATATGGTACTACAAAATATTTTTTTTTTTTTTATTTATGAGAGAGAGAGAGAGAGAGAGAGAGAGAGAGAGAGAGAGAGGTGTGTGTGTGTGTGTGGCCAGCTCAGCCCACCAGGGGGCGGGGCTGGCTGGCATGTGGTGCTGGGGGATTGAACCGCGGTC